TGCCTCTGTCTCTTGTATTGTGTGTGTTGTGTTTGGAAAACATGTCTTTTATACCATGCAGTTTCAGCTTGAAGTTTTTGCCTTGAGAATTTTAATGTAAACTCGAGTTTAAGCTGAAAAAAAGTAACTTTTTTCCTTTTTATAAGAGAGCTCTGATGTAAATACAAATCAATACAAATCATGGAAATTTTGTGTTTAACTAGTTGACAGTTATTAATGAATTATATGGTAAAAAAAAACATTTTAATGTGAATAAAAACTTAATAAAACTGTAATCATTGCCCCTATTTCTTGAACATTGTGAAATTTACACAAAAGTAGAGCAGCTGGCTGATTGTTGTCCAGTGTTTGCTCACTGACAAAAAATTTAAATTCGATAACTGTCATGGTACCTGGGTCGCTATTCTGCCCTCAAGCTGATTTCTAGCTTGGCAGAAGCTAAAAGGTCCACAATAAACATCCAGAAGTCAGCAGGTACATTTTAGATGTTTATTGTTGAAAGCACTGTGAAACTGTGGTACAGAAACAAAAATAAAACACTGAGCCATGCACTACCATTTACATCACACATCAACGTATCCTGACACCTTCACTGATTAATTTGCTCCAAGTAATTAGCAATTAGCTTAATGCTAATGTTACATAGGAAATTCCCTAGACGGGCTAATGTGTTAGCATTGCAGCCGTTTTTCACACAAAACTCTAAAGTCTTACACAAAATTATCGCGGGAAAGCTTAAAACAAAGGATAGCAACTACTTGCTTGCTTAGGCTCAGCAAGAAAAAATTACCAAAAAGTGGAAAAGACAACAGTTTATTGCGTATATTGATCAGTCCTCTGTAATGTCCATATTATTGTTAAGATATACTACTTATTATCTGAAAAATATTAAATGAATATCAAATTAAAAATCTAAAATTTGAATTATTACAAAACTGCACTATGGACTGGTGTCATGTTTAACAAACTTGGTGCTGGCTCTAACATTGGATTGACTTCTGCTTCATTTCTATATGCTATTCCAGTGTCCTAAAACAGAGTTTAGGAACT